AGGAGGAGGCAGGGGCGGAGAAGGCTGGGAAGCCGAGTAGGGGGCGACTATCTTAGGGGGTGGGGATAAGGGAGGCATAAGTGAAGTGTAGGGTCGGCTCACAGACTCCATTCTGGCCTAAAGGGGGATGGGAGGGAGAAAACAAACAGTAAACAAAACAGTTACAGAGGTAAGCTTTGACTCTTAACAGGAAAAAGCCAGGAATCTGGGGCATGCGTGAAAAGGATGCAGCAATTGGTGGTCATGAAGATGGACAATGTGTCAGGAAGGCAAAAACCAAACTCCCTGGGTAACCAGGACACAGAGAAAATTTACTCAACGATGTGGTCCCGCAGCTAGACTGGCTAACCATCGGAATGCTTTTGCCTGTTGCAAAAGCAAGTTTGCAGGGTGAAGGGATGTCTGATTGCTGACCTCTGGCTGAGTGACTTCCACACACAGTGTCCTAACTGTGGGGTGGACTCTAAGCATTGGATGCCACTTGGACTCTGGCAGTGGAAAAATGTGATGGCTCAAGTTCACTTTTCAGTCCAGGACTGCATCTACCTCAAGCAGATGCCACGGCTGGGCTTAGCGTGCTGTGGAGGGCCTCTCCGTGAGTGAGGATAGCTTTCTGATGCTAGTAAGCTGACGCGAGAGTGTGGAAGTGTTCAGCAGGCGTGCACTGTCACACAGGAATGAATGAGCTTGACACACATATTCGTGCATGTGAGACACTTGCATCCAACATGCACAGAAGTCCAGCAATGCAGGTAATGAGGGGGCATTCTTTCAGTTTTTTTTTTACTGGAAAATACATAAAGAAATGCTTCGTAAACATTATGGCAAAAGATCATAAAAATGTCATACAGAAAAACCCAGAAGAAAATGAGAGAAAACTTTGGAAGGCGAGAATAAAGAAAAGACTGAGAAAGGTGAGCTAGTTTGTTGGCAGCGTGTGGACTGGCCTGCCCGAGCCCCTCCTGGCACTGTGGAAATGGTCACACCTGGTTATTTATTTCACGAAGCCAGTCATGCATGAATGTGGTTTAAGGACTTTGGAAAACAAGAAAGGAAGTACCCTTGGTTTTTCTTTACTCCATTTGATAACTTTGGGTACATCTTTTAGGCTCTATGAACAAATTGTGAGGATCCAGGATAAACTATTTGTAGTCAATGATGAATGACATCTAATTCATATGGAGAATGCTCAGGTTAGTAGATTCTCGAGAGGGCTCATTATTGGGCTGAATTCTAATGCCCATCAGGACACTCACATGTTTTCTAAAAATTACACATCAGAATAAAAGCATTAGTCTGTAAGGTTTGTTACAGGAGTCACCCAGGTTAATTTGTTTCCAAAGAACAGCCCCTGACCTTAACTTGACCCTGTCTTGGCTGCTTCAGGGGTGCAGACCTTAGCTGTGCTGGCCTTCACACTGGGCACCTGAGACTGAGGTAACAGGAGAAGAGACACACAGGAATCAGGACTCAAACTCACTGCTGCTCAGCATCGTTCACACGCTTCCCAACACTGCGATGACAGCCTGCTGGCCTCCAGAGCAGTTAAGCCTCTGTCCTCTTTGGCCTTACTCATACAAATTAGGTCATTGCGTAATTTAAAATGTACATGGATTACACCATTAATAATTTGGTAAGGCACAGGACTTTTCTTTGTTGTTCTTGTTGTTATGTGCCGTCGAGTCGCCCCGACTCATAGGGACCCCTCCTTGGGTTTCCGAGGCAGTATCACTACGGAAGTAGGATTGCCCAACCTTCCTTCCGAGGAGTGGCTGGTGGGTTTGAACCGCCAGCCTTCTAGTTAGCAGTCAAGTGCCTTAGGCACTATGCTACCAGAGCTCCTGGACTTTTCTTTAGACATCCGAATTATGTAAACCAACTTGTTTCTCTGGTACATATTTAGAGCATTAGCACCAAATGGGACAGTCCATCCACACTGATTAAGCTGGGAAAGGGAGAAAGAATCTCTCTTGAAAGTCTGAGGCTCTGATAAGGGAGTAAACAAACTGCCAGGTTTTGAGAATTTAGGTCATTGGAGCCAATTCTCAAATACTCGTTTTTGAAGGGAAGTGCTTGACTCCCACATTGGCTAATAATGTCTTCACCTTCCCAGGGCCAGTAAATCAACCACATATGCAAATCAGAGAATAAACTGAGGGGGAATGGCCATTGAACTCTCACTGTGAATGCATTAGTGTAAGGTTCTCAGACTGAAACAACAGCAACAAAATACCCCTCAAATGATTATCAAGTCAATACAAAATGGCCAGGCCCAGTGTGCCAGGTTCCTTAGAGATGGAGTTCTGCATCTTGAAAAGGTGAATACTGGCTGGGACACAAACCAGCCTAAAGAACCATATAGGCAGTTTGCCAAAGGACTGAGGAGGCCTGCAAACTGCTCTATTTAAATAATCTCACTATAATTACACTTGTCCTTCAGTAGAGTTATTCGTATAATTTGGTTATGCAAAGCTGAGAAACCCAAGATATTTAGGAGATTGATTTGAATTTAGTCTTCCCTATAATCTACAATTACGAGAAAATTCATCAATAAGCACAGAAATGGCAAAGTGCATAAAAGATAACAAATGAGTCTAAATAATTTAATAATGAAATAACTAAAAACAAAAAACAAAAAACAAAACCTCACTCTGAGGAGTGGCTGCTGGGTTTGAACTGCCAGCCTCCTGGTTAGCAGTCAAATGCTTTAAGCACTACACCACCAGAGCTCCTACTGAAATAATCAACCATTATCGTATATTATTATTAATATATATTTCATATATAATTATATTTTAAAAAAACAAACTCACTGCCATTGAGTTGTTTCCAACTCGTGGTGACCCCAACCCCTCCCCTTGGGTTTCCGAGGTGGTATCAATACAGAAAGAAATAGATTGCCCAATCTTCCTTCTGAGGAGTGGCTGGTGGGTTTGAACTCTTAGCCTTCTGGTTAGCAATCAAATGCCTTAGGCACTGTACCATCAGAGCTCCCATATAATTATATATATGTTATATATTATTATAATAATATGTGTTATATATTATTATAAATAAGCGATGTCTCTAGACCATATTTAGGGCATTACCACTAAATGGTGTTGCTCTATCCAAACTGATTAAAGAGGGGAAGGAGGGAATTACTTTCTTAAAATTTTGAGCCACTGATAAAGGAGTTCAATTAACTCCTTTTAAAAGTCATTAGAGCTAATTTACAAATAATGCATTTCTGAAGGTAAGTCAAATCATCAGATCTCTTTGAAACCTTTCCACCCATTAAAATCGGGAAGACTCAAGATCTGAGAAAGGAGACTAAAATAGGGCAAGAAAGAATTCCTAATAAAGGATTAAAAGACCACCAACTTAAACCCATGGGACACTGCATATGTTTCTATGTAAATGAAAAGAAGCATGTTACCTTGCTGGACTCTTCTAACTGAGTGCCTCGTTTCCAGGCTTCAGAAAAGATGGAGCTCACAACGCTCTGGGACCTGATGTGTCCTGCTGGCTGGGTGTCAGAAACTCCACTATCAGACTGATTAGAGTGATTTGACTGGGACTCTGTTGAAAAACAGTTTGTAAAGGACCAGACTGTGAATACATATATTTTAGATCTTTCTATACAGGTCAAATGTGTGCAGAACAGCAACACATTAATTTTACCCAACCTATTTATAGAAACACAGCTAGATGATCTCCCTTATCTTAATAGGAAAGCTTGGATTTTTCTTTAAATAGTTCACCATTAGACTAAGAATTACAATACAACATTCATACAACATTGGTATCCTGACAACCTGTCTTGCAAAAAATCAACTGCCTACCAATAAGAGAATTAATAAGCTATCAATAAAGTTAGCCCCCCCCCAATTATTTATTCATTACACTGAGAATCAGTTTCTCTAATGTTCCAGGTCATCTAATTTATAAATTCAGATCTATACATGATGATGACTTCCTTTCTTCCCAGCAACACACAATACTAAGAACTTGACCTCCAAGTGAGGCATAAGCAGGCTTTCTAGGGACTCAGGTACTGACACCACAGGGCAGCAGCCAAGCTGCAGCCTGGCCTCTTGGCAAGACACTGAGGCCCCGTGGGAATGGCTGTGAAGGTACAGTGCATCCTCAACTGAGGCCCATGGTAAGAGAACTGGGAAGATGATTTCACCAGCCTCCTAGTCAAACCAGATGACCGGACGGAAGCAATTTCTGGCATCTAGTGGACACTCAAATGTTAGAGCTAACCCCATCCAATCACTCTGAGAGACAGAGACTTAGATTGCAGTATTAAGTGAGTCCAGCCAAGTTAGTTACAGTAGAGCAAAGGTAATAAATAACCACAAACAAATTGTCAACTCTAAATTCAAACTCCTTTAGAGAAAGTTAAGACAGGATCCTTTTGCATACCACTGATTTCCTGTGAAAACTATAGACTGATAACGTGAATAGCTGCCTTTACTGTGATACTAGACTAGTTCTTGCTATTTCACTGTGAACTGCAATGTCAGGAAGCCTGTGGGGGAGGACGGCACTTTCTTCATGGATTCTGAGTATAGAGGTTCTCCCCAAGTACTTTTCTACCCCAAATTATGCATCAACATCAACAGTTGTTTCTGAGCAGTGAGTTTTGAGTAATCTGCTTTAGGGGTCTACATACCCAAAAAAACCAAGCTCACTGCCATTGAGTCGATTCTGACTCACAGTGACCCCCACTGGGTTTCTGTGGTGGTCAGTCTTTACAGAAGTAGATTGCCCAGTCTTCCTTCTGCAGAGTGACTGGTGGGTTTGAACTACCAGCCTTCTGATTAGTAGTCAGATGCCTTAGTCATATAGTGGTTTTCTATTTCAAATACATTTGTGAACTAGACCATGACAGTCTCCCCACATAGAATTTTAGAAGTACCAATTGATTATAATTCAGAAATTAAGTATGGCTCTAGTTTTTAAGAACTAAACTGAAATAACCAGGTCTGCAGTCATGTCTCTCAGAGACCTTCATATTGGTAGTAAAACAGTGCTTTGAGACATCTGAACTACCTGGGATGCTAGAAGAACTAGATCCTGATTTAATGCTGGAGCTGGATAAGGAAGTCCAATCGTAAGTTGACTCTGTCCTCTTCATGGCTTCTTGATAGTTCGTGTAGAGCTGCTTCCCATACTAAATAGAAGAAAGCAAACGACATGTGAACTTTACTGGGTATGAAAAGATGAGGCAGCAAAGTGGGATACATTTCTATTTATGGATTCATAGCGCATATGAAAATATCTGTAATACTTAAAAAATTCTCACATGATTAAATTATAATCTACTCTTATTTAATTCAGGGCTAGCTTCTCAGAACTCAGGATTCTACCCAAATCTGGTTAGTAAATGCTCATTACTTAAAGCAATTTAATAATTTTTTTTTTTTTGCTTTTACCAAACTTTTCTATTCAAGACCAGTATCATCCATTCTTCAAATTCAAAATAAATCACTTTCATGCTACACAAGATTTTTTTTTTTTTTTAATTGTGATTTGGGTGAAAGTTTACAGAGCAAATTCATTTTCCATAGAGCAATTCACACACTTTTTGTTTCAATATCACTGACTGCAATCCCAATAACATAACAGCTCTTTTCCCACTTCCTCCCTATGATTACCTTTTCTCTGTTCATGCTACATAGCTTTTATCAGCACTCTTATTTCACAGATAGTGTTACACATTTATCAAATCATGAAGGAAAAAAGATATTTAAAAATGAAATGTAGGCCTTAGAAAACTAGACACTGGCAAAATCATGAACATAAAACAATTACAATAATTCTGAACATAAACTAAATTTCAGACATACTAAAGCAGCTAAGGAGCTCTGGTGGCATAGTGCCTAGGCATCTATCTGACTGCTAACCAGAAGGCTGGTGGTTCAAACCCACCAGCCACTCCTCGGAAGACTGGGCAATCTACCTCCGGGCAATCTACTTCTGTAGTGATACTGCCTAGGAAACCCAAGGAGGGGACACTGAGTTGGATCCGACTTGACAGGCAGTGAGGTTTTTTTTTTAAAGCAGCTCATCTCATGACAAGCAAGCCTTATCATTAAGCACTTTATTAGTCTATCCTCAAAAGAAAACCTACCTTTGCGATGCGGATACCATTGACCCACTGATGTAGGGTTCTCACATCATCACAACAAAGGTATTTGATATACTGTGATTTCTTCTGGATCTGTGGGTGCTGCAAGATTAAAGGCAAAATTCCAAATAAGTCTTCTGAAGAACTGAAGGGAAAGAAACTCTACCAAAGCTTAAACCTACCCACACAAAGTTACAGGCCATCAGAGTAATGGCCAGATAATTTACAGTTCTTCTGTAAAGATTTACTGCCTCGGAAACCCAAAGGGGGTCGCTGTGAGTTGGAATCAACTGATGGCAATGAGTTTTTTTTTTTTTTTTTTTTTTTAATTATGGCCATAAAGCCAAATGAAATGACTCAAGTATTTTTACATAGAAGTGAAAAAGAAACTTCTGTTAAATTTTAGATACCCAAGTTAAAAAATAAACCCTCACATTGTGAGAAATTCCCAAACACCCCTTCTATATTTCAAAGAAATTAAGCCCATAAAAGTTAATGACAGTAGAATTCTCAAGTCTATGAGACTGTGAAAAGGAAAGAGAATGTTTAATTTCACTTTGAACCCACTGAACTCATTGCTCAAAGGACTCAACAAGAGAGGGCCTTTGGTCTGAAGAGCAAAGCTCCCAGTACTTCTCGAGGTGAGTAACAGCTGTATACAAAGCACCGAGCATAGCTCCTGTCACTGGGTTCTGGGTGTGGAGATGACCACTGCTGGTTAGGCCCCCTCTACCAAGCGGCAGGACTGCAGTATGTGCCTCCCAGGCCACATGCAGCTTCTCAACTGCATCATCATACTCATTTTCACAACCCACTGTCCTTTTCAGTTGAGACTTGAATGGGAGGTGAGTATCTTGCCCTTGGCTATAAAGTGCAAGAGCTGGAACAGATTAAAGGTCTTTCAACTCCAGTGGGCCGCAACCACTACTTCCCTGGGAACTAGTGACAAAAGAAAAACCCTAAATCATACTTGGTTCTTGTATATATTATGTTATAGAAGCTGAGCTCTATAAAGCAAAAACAGAGGTCAAATAAGAAACGGAATGGATTTACATATATTTTTTTCTCATTATGAATGACAGTGATCTTTAAAAATACAGATACTCTGTTGTTGTTAGGTGCCATCAAGTCAGTTCCAATTCATAGTAACCCTGTGTGTAACCAAAACACTGCTCAGTCCTGCACCATCCTCACAATCACTGCTGTTTGGGCCCATGGTTGTAGCCACTGTGCCCATCTGTTCCTGTTACACTGAGAACTTTTTATTCATATTGCTTATTTTATTGATCTTACGGGTTTCTAGAACAAATAAATGTGTTTAGTTGTTGTTGTTGTTGTTATGTGCCATCAAGTTGGACCCGAGTCATGGCGACCCCTCTGGGTTTCTGAGGCGGTATCACTACGGAAGTAGATTGCCCAACCTTCCTTCCGAGGAGTGGCTGGTGGGTTTGAACCTCCAGCCTTCTGGTTAGCAGTCAAGTGCCTTAGGCACTACTCTACCAGAGCTACCCAAATGTGTTTAGGGGATTTTGAAAAAAATAATTCTTTTAAAGCCTCTTTCTTACAAATGAAAATAAATTTACTTTTAACTTTAAAAAAAGTAGCTAGGAAATGATTTTTTTCTGTTAATTTCTATGTGTTTTTATTTCTTAATAACCTGCATTTCTCTGGAAGGATTCATACTCTATATATAGAGTCTGGTGGTACACTGTGTAGGGCATTTGACTGCTAACCAGAAAGTTGGCAGTTCAAATCTGCCAGCTGCTTCGTGGAAGGAAGATGAGGCAATCTACTTCTGTAAAGATTTACTGCCTTGGAAACCCAATGGGGGTCGCTATGAGTTGGAATCAACTTGACAGCAGTGGGTGATTTTTGCCTATCTATAGACCCTGTGCTGCAGCATTTTGTTTTGTTTTGTTTTGATTTGTTTGTTGGAATTCTTATGTTTAAGAATAAAAATATTTATGAAGGCAGTATTTATTACAGACTTTAGAGGAAAAAAGACATTGGTTTACATGCTCATAGCTGTATGTCCTTGGAGAAGTTAATCCCTCTAAACCTCAGTTTCCGTATCTCAAGAAGAGACGCATAAGGCTGATGTGTAAAAACTGAAAACTTACCGCTGTCGAATCGGATCCGACTCATAGTGACCGCTGCTTGGGTTTCTGAGGCGGTTTCACTACGGAAGTTTGATTGCCCAACCTTCCTTCCAAGCAGTGGCTAGTGGGTTTGAACCGTCAGCCTTCTGGTTAGCAGTCACATGCCTTAGGCACTACGTCACCAGAGCTCCTAGGCTGATGTGTATACATCATATTTTAATGCAAGTAACGTGCTTGTTAGTACTTTCTTTGGGGGAGGGGCAAGCCACACATCCCTTCTCGAGCATTAGTTTCCTATGTCCATCTCTGCACATAAGGGTGTACGAGGGAGTGCATTATATACAAAAGTTATTATGGTAGCGCTTCCAGTGTGCACCTGCCACCTTAGAGTTCGTCAATAAATGGTGGCCACTACTTTTACTAATCTTCTAGTTGTATCATGTTTTTCTATTTCTTTACATTGAATATTTCCAGATATAAGTAAGTAAAATCAAAACCACTGCCCCTGGGTTGATTGCAACTCACAGCTGTCATATAGGGCAGAGTAGAACTGTCCCATAGGGTTTCCAAGGCTGTAAATCTTTATGAAAGCAGACTGCCTCATCTTTCTCTCACAGAACAGCTGGCAGGTTCAAATCACCGCCCTTCTGGTTAACAGCTGAATGTTTTTACCACTGTGGCACCAGAGCTCCTCACAGATACGTACCAACCAAAACCAAGCTCACTGCCATTGAGTCGATTCTCACTCATAGAAAACCCTGCTGGGTTTCCGAGGTGGCGAATCTTTACGGAAGGAGATTGCCCCCTCTGCCTTCCACAGAGCAGGTGGTGGGTTTGAACTGCCAGCCTTCTGGTTAGCAGTCAGATGCCTTAGGCACTGTACTACCAGAGCTCCTTTTATAGATATGGAGTCAATATAAACATAGGAATTTAGCTTACTCTAATACACTAAAAACAAAGCACACAATTCTTTATCATAAAAAAACAAAACACAACTTAGAACAAAATATTCATAAATCTCAAGTTCTCTGAGTTGTAAAAGGGACCAATATAACAGTCAGTGGTCATAACTAATTCTGGTCGCAGCAGGCATTGTTGGCTGCCTTCCCCACAGCCATCTTCCCCTCTACATTTTCTCACTGGCACAGCCTCAATTTTGTTTAGGTGTCCACCCTCATCTGTGCCCCTCAGAGTGTGAATTCTGAAGAGGCAAAGCCAACCACAGTGGCTTTTTTCCTTCTGTTAGGATTGCTTTAGCAGTAGGCATGTCTCAAGTGATTCAGGGGTAGAGGGAGATTTTGGGTAGTTCCTGGGGATATTTCTTTCTTCAAAAAAAAAAAAAAAAGATGAAAACAGTGAGAAGTAGTCCCTGTTCTGTTGTTGGATTTTACTGGGTCTGCATGCATTGCCTAGAACCGCAGCAGCCAGTTTGTGACTGTGAGGTGGTAAGCCAGCCTGAGAACAGCTAATAATGCAGATGATGGAAAGGTAACAATGGAAAGAACTTCAACCTTGAGGCACTGAAATAATCTCATTGTCTTCATGGTTGTTTTCTTGTTACATGAAATATTAAATTCTCCTTATTCCTAAGAGCCAGTGGTTTTCAATTTTTAAGAAAATAATGAGAATCCCAAATAACTTTTCATCTATGTGGCTTATGCCTACAGATACTAACCTTATTAGAAATTAGAAAACAAAAACAAACAAAAAACACACTCCACCAGCCAAGAGAATAAAGATGTTACCAGATGTCAACCTCATAGAAAACAGCACTGTATGTTTGTGAGAGAACGAGAGTGTACAAGGCAAGTGACATCTGTGCATCACCAGAAAAACAATTTTGACATCATAGACTCCTTTAAAGGGTCCTGAGAACTCTCAGGGGTCCTTGGACTTCATTATGAAAATTGCTAGGTTATCGTTTTTTTTTTAAATTATTTGTTGTTGAAAGTAACCTAAATGGCACAGGGGTGTTCTCCAACAAAAGTTTATTAATAAAGCATTCCCACTACAATATACCTAATTTTATCACAACAATCAAAACCCCACCTAAAAACCCTAAACCAATATCCCCACCAAAGTCAACTAAGTTCTCAGACAAAAGTAAAAGCAAAAGATGATGTAAACATATAGACCACCTAAGGAGCAACCTAAGGATTACTAAAATAAGATGGAGCTAATGAGAAAAGTGTAATTATAATTAATCTCCATAATCATCTCCTGATTTTTGTTATCTTTATTAATGTTGCAATAAAATCACTGAAAATTCACTAAAATGTCAGTTCTCAAAAGAAGATACAATTAGTATAAGGTAAAAGAAAAAAAAAAAAAACCTTCCACTAAAAACGGATCTAACAATTTTTAAGAGTTACATGGGCCAGCTGGGCTGTCATGCTAGAAAAAAAAGAGAACTGATTTTTGGGCTAGATGAGGACCAATCCAGGGCAAACTTGGGTACAGTGCCCTCTGATGGTTCTACTGAGTAAATACAGAAAAAAGACCAAGCCTCTGATTAAGTGTTCCTGAAATAAGCCTGTTACTAACTAAGCAAGTTGCCACCACCTGTCTGTCAGTTTGTTGTACTGTGGTGGCTTGTGTGTTGCTGTGAGGCTGGAGGCTATGCCACCAGTATTTCAAACACCAGCAGGGTCACCCATGGTGGACGGGTTTCAGTGGAGCTTCAAGACTAAGACAGACTGGGAAGAAGGAAGGGGCCATCTACTCATCAAAGAATTGGCCAGTGAAACCCTTATGAGTAGCAGTGAGACACTGCTGAGGACCAGGCAGTGTTTCATTCTGTTGTACAGAGGGTCACTATGAGTCAGAACTGACTCAACAGCACCTAACAACAACAACGAGAAGCAAGTCTCAGGTTTATAATACAATCTGTTTTGTATATTAAAATTCAAAGCTTGAAGTCCAGTATCCATTCTTTATTAGCATCAATTTAATCAGTGCTAATTAGCTAAAGGTCAACTATGGCATAACTTGTGCTTCTCCCCCCCACCCTTTACCAGTCCTTTGAAAACCCGTAAGATGAAGCAAAAATAGTACATGCTTGATGCGGATTCAAACAATTTTAAAATGTCCAATAATCTGCTCCATGCCCACTGTGAATGAAAATTCCTAAAAACAGACATCTGTTTACCTTTAGCACCAGACAGTAGTCTGTAGGGGCCTTGTATTTGTTTCGATAATCCTGGCCATAATAAACATTGACATGATCCAGCTGGAGAAAACACACAAGATCCCGAGAGACCTAAACCAAACACACCCAAAAGAGGGAATTAACAATAATGTATAAAAACAAATGTCACACACTTAGTAATAGTTTTTAGTTCAGAACTGAAACTACACTAACTAGATATTAATGCCATTTTATAAAACACACAGAGAAACTCCATCCATGTTTCTTTACTCCACAATGCAACAACAATGAATACTGACTTGTTTGAAAAGGCTGGCACTGTAAAAACCAAAACCAAAACCAAACCACACTCCCTGCCGTCGAGTTGGATCCTATTCATAGCGACCCCTCCTTGGGTTTCTGAGGCGGTACCACTACGGAAGTAGATTGCCCAACATTCCTTCCGAGGAGTGGCTGGTGGGTTTGAACTCAGCCTTCTGGTTAGCAGTTAAATGCCTTAACAGGATAGTATATTAAATATAATATAACACAATAGAGTTCTCTGAGAAGAATAAAAAAGTACTATATATCCAGTGCCTATAGCACATTATCTCAAATACAATGATTCTCAACTGGGGGTTTCCTCGTTGGTTAAGAAGGGGCAACGACATACACCTCACAGAATTACTGACTAGATTATCAAAGTCTAGATAAAATAATACTATGAAAAGCTTAAAACACTGTTAGCCTAAGTAGCACGTAAGTGCTAGCTACCAATTCTATAGCTATCAGCTGAGATATATTACCTAACCAAGACTGAAATGTCTATAATCCCAGAAAGCTATTCTACTAACACAAAAAAACCACTTTGCTCGTAAGAGTCAGAATAATTAAAATAATAAGTAAAAGAAATTTTCTTTAAAATTTTAAAATAGTAAGTAAAAGTATGATTACAGATTTGATAAAAGAATTGAGATGGGCCAACTAAATGACCAGTCAGTGAAAATTTTCAGGTTTTCTCCTCTTTCTAATAGACCAATAAACAAATCAGTATTCTGTGTCAGAAGAGTTGGAACACATCAGAGCCTGAATTCACCCTGCCAGTACATTGCTACCACCTAAAAGCAGTTAGCATAATGAGGAGGCTCCACAGCCAACAGAAGTCACACACCTTTGCTTTTCCTTTGGGGACATAATAGATACCAGATGCTCGCAAGAGAAAATAACGCTTTTTCCAGGACTTCTTGCCATCATCTTTCAACCAAAGGACTCCTTCGATTTCTGGTACAGTTACAGAACTTCCACCAAAACATTCCTAAAGTAAGATGATTTGGAAAGACTTAGGATCCTTGAATTCTCAGAACAAAGTTGTGCTTACCTCCATGAAAGGAAAGACAATTAAACCCAAAGACAAGTTTTATTGAAACTATGCTGCTGATTGACTTCAATTAGAATTTTCTATTTTAAATGTAACATGGACTCAATTTTGGAATTACTAATTAACTTCTGAGGAGAATTATTAAGTAGAAATGTCCATCATAAATGGAAAAGAATTTCCACCTACAAACCTACTGCTGTTTTGAAGAAAAACTTGAAATGTTGACTGAGTTACATATAACAGTATTTAAACACATTTGTAAAAAGTATAGCTCTGTCAAAAATTAAAGGATCAGAGCTGATGTAAGCATTATACTTTATTTTTTCTCTAACACGCTTAGATTAGTTGTCAAGCTGAAGAAATATATTTTAAAAGAAAGAGCTAAATGGGTGATTAAACTTTAACAATGTAAAAACTATCAATTTGCACGATGCTAAGATAAAGAACATTTATTTTTAAAATATTTAATACGGAGGCTGTTTCTATGTAAACAAAACTCAGAAATTTTAAAATTGTGCTATCCATACTTACACACAAATCTAATGTAAGAAAATCAATCACGTATTTGGTTAAAAGAAAAAAAGGAAATACTCACTAAACACTAACATAGGACATTTTGAACCTAAGATTAATTTCCATCTCCCTAAAGCAAAGTAAAATTAGGAATTACAAAGAGAGCTTTACTGAAATACAGCTAATACTATTATGAAAAGGTGTGTGTCGATCTTAACTGCCTTGTTATTAAGTTCATTCAGGTTTTCAAACATACTAACTACTTTTAGTTTTTTTTTTAATCAGCAAAAGCAAGAAAGCCAAAAATTCAATAGTTTAAATTTGTTTTTATTATTCTTCAAAATAAAGATATGTATTTAAAAAAAAAATGGATCACTACAATTGAAAAAGTTCTTCAAGGTGTTTAAGTCTCAGGTGTGGAATATTTTGTTAACTGCTAAGTACATTCACACTTTTCCTGTCTAGGTGAGCACAATCACAGATTCCAATGACCAGCCTACTTTTTTCTCCCATTCAGCAGCCCCTACAAGCTCTTCACTGCTTTTCATCCACTAGACACCACTTGGCAAAGTAACAGCTTTTAAAAGGCTCTTGGTGGTCTAACCCATTCAGCGTTGAACTCCCTGCCTCATGCTATCAAAGACTACTGGCTTCTCTCATTACAACTCTAACTACACAGAGCACTGACATGTCTGACTTCAGAAAGATGCCTGACATTTTAATTTTTTTAGTATGTGTGTGGTGGTGGTGCAGGGGTGGGGAGAGGGAAGACTCATACCTCCAGCAGCACTTCCTTGTTTCTGTCTGCCATCTCAACTGTTTCCTTTTTCCCCAGAAGGTAATTCTGGAAAAATGAATAAGTGACATTTGAAGGATAAACCCACTATATTATTCCCTTGGCATAGGTGTATATATGATTTCTTCCAGAAACATAGCAACTCTGTGTCAATTTCTGCTTGTTGCAACACTTGTTGGAAAAGCTCCTTGTGTGTGAGTCTCATCCCTAAAATGCTCAGTGAGGGTCTCCTCCCGAGCTACTTTAGTCATGTGACATTCTGTCAAGTGGTGCCCCAGATCCTGAGTGACATTTCACACAACAGCTGGCTACTGCATCTGGGGATATCTAATGAAAGCTAAATGTAAAAAGGATCAGAAAGGTTTATAAATTATTAAGTAAAATGATTAAGGCAAATTCCCTAAAACAGGCTGAGCTTAATTGATCTGATGCAAAAAACTGGATTTATGGTCTGGCTTTTTAGAAGCCCTTCCAGATCCTTTGAGATCATCATACTCTCATTTGTTTGACTCAATCAGGAATCTGAATTCAAACTATTGCTTTATAATTTCTTTCCATAATTACCAACAAAAAGGCCTGTCAATACAGTCAGATACACATTAGACTAAAAAATATCCATAAAAGGTGTGTCATGATTAACCTGCCTTAAAGATAAAAATTTGATTCCTTTAAACAGTGCTGTTTTTCCTCATTGCTACTTTTTAATGTGGAATTCTTGTTTTTTTCCAACTTAATGATTTTTATAAAATGTGTGCATATTGGGAAGTATTAGCCCATACATTATGTTAGAATAACTAAAGGTGCCAAATTAATCAGGTAACATACATTAAAATGTGGAGCCATGTATAATGAAGGTTACTAGTTTTTTAAAAATAAGTAAAAAAAGAGAAAAACAATCACTTGGGGAAAAAAGTGACACAGAGAAACCTGGTTAAGTACTTTTCTTTGATGTGATGGATGAGACACTCCTCAGATGTTTATTTGGTTTCTAAACATCTCTAGATTACAGAGAAGAGGAACCTGGTGGCTTCCTGAAGTTCCTTCTCTTTCTACTAGGATCACCCCCTCTGGTTCTGTGGGCTGGTAGCCTTCTTGAGGCCTGACACCTAGACTGCCAGACTTTCCAACTAGGGAGTAGTGAATGCTCCTGTGGGGTTCACGATCCTTTAACTCTATTAAATTAGCAGTAATAGAATAAAGCAAGATAGACATGTAAAAGTTCTGACCTTTACAATAATTTGTTAGGTCTTACCTGTGGGTTTTTGAAAAGTGCGTATTTTTCTATACGCTCCATAAATATAAGTTTGTTTTGGCTATCTCTTGTCCAATTGAGAAGATTTTCAACCAAGTTTTCATGGTCTTCAAAGATTCTCTCTGTCTCAAAATAAAATTTCAGTATTTTGTTAGTGTTCATTAAAACTGCATTAATTTTACTTCAGGTTTTAGGAAGCAGAAAACTAAACCACAGGAAAAATTATGATAAGCATCAAAGACATGTGATCTTGTGAAGTAATTCACATCAGAACTCATGGCCTTAAAGATTTTCTGGTCTTTCCTCATTTTTCAAATCAGGAAACATGTCCTCATGACACAAGGGACTTAACTAAGGTCACATGGCTGATACACGAAAGATTCAGGGCTAGGATCTAGGCCTTCTGACTCACAACACATCATTCTTCAGCCTTTGGGATTTTCCCATTCCAACTTTTAAGGGGAAAAAAAATCCACTTAAGTTGTATTTTATGAATTCTGATATCAAGTATTTCCATTAGTATTCGTTTCTTGGTATTTAAAAAAACTCTAAGATGACTTCTTTGCCCCATGATTTTTGTTTAAGTTAGATTTAGATGTGTTTTCTAACTTTCAAATTATAAGTCAAAGAATATGTCTTCTACATTAAACACATGTTCAAAGAACATGTTCTAGATACTGATTCTTTGAAATCTGTTGAAAAGTTGTTTTATAGCCTCACATTTGAATCAATTTTTGGAAAAAGTCCATTGCTGCTTGGAAAGAAAGTACATTCTCTTGTTAGATACAGTGTGCTAAACTTATCTATAGGTATTGTTGTTAGGTGCCACCAAGGCGGTCCCGACTCCTAGCTACCCTATGTACAAAAACACTGCCCGATCCTGTGCCATACCCACTCACTATGTTTGAGCCCACCGTTGCTGCCACCATGCCAATCTGTCTTCTCGAGAGTCTTCCTATTTTTGCTGACCGTCGCCTTCACCAAGCACATCCTTCTCCTGATACCAGGCCCAAAGCACGTGCAGTGCAGTCTCACCATCATCACTTCTAAGGAGCTTCTGGCTGTACATCTTCCAAGACAGGTGTGTTCATTCTTCTGGCAGCCCATGGTAAATTCAGTATTCTTCACCAATGCCATAATTCAAAGGCATCAATTCTTTGGCCTTCCTTATTCACTGTCCAGTTTTCACATGCACATGAAGAGAATGAAAATATCATGGCTTAGGTCAGGCACTCCTTAGTTTTCAAAGTAAAATCTTTGCTTAATAACATTTTTAAAAAGTCTTTTGTAGGAGATCTGCCCAGTGCAGTATGTTGTTTGAATTCGTGACTGCTGCTTCCATGGGCATTGATTGTGGGTGCAAGTAAAATGAAATCCTTGACAATTTCAATCTTCTTTTGAAAGACTGAAGCTTGATTTTTTCCTTTGGTTCTTTCAGCTTGAGAAATACTGAGTGTGCTCTTCTCTTCTGATTTTCTAACTCCAGGTCTTTGCACATTTCATTCTAATACTTTACTTAGTCTTCTCAAGCCACCCTTTGCAAACTTCTGTTCAGCTCTTTTACTCCATGATTTCTTCTTTTCAGTTTAGCTACTCTATGTTTAAGAGCAAGTTTCAGAGTTTCTTCTGATATCCATTTTGGTCATTTTTTCCATTCCCGTCTTTTTAATGACTTTTTTTTTTCCTTCATGTATGATGTCCTTGATGCCATCCAACAACCTGTCTAGTCTTTGGTCATTAGTATTCAGTGAGTCAGTACTACTCTTGAGATGGTTTCTAAAGTGGAATATACTCAAGTTAGTCCTTTTGGCTCTTAAGAATTGCTGTAATTTTCTTTGGCTTCAACTTGAACTTGCATATGTGCAACTGATGGTCTGTTCTGCAGTCAGCCCCTTGCCTTGTATGACTGATTATAACGAGCTTCTCCATCACCTCCTTCCACAGATATAGTCGATTTGATTCATGTGTATGCCATCTGGTGAGGTCCATGTGTATCATTCACATTTATGGTGTTGAAAAAGGTATCTCCAATGAATAAGTCATTGGTCTTGCATAATTCTATCACGTGATCTCCAGCATCATTTCTATCACAAGGCCATAATTTCCAACTATTGATGATTCTTTTTTGTTGCCAACTTTGGCATTTCAATCTATCAGTAACTATCAGTGCAACCTGATTGCATGTTTGATCAATTTCAGACTGCAGAAGTAGGTAAAAATCTTCAGTTTCTTCATCATTGTCATTAGTGAATGGTGCGTAAATTTAAATAATAGTTACATTAACTGGTCTTCCTCATAGGTATATAGGTATTATGCTATCACTGCCAGCACTGTACTTCAGGATAGAGCTTGAAATGTTTGACAATGAACGTGATGCCATTCCTCTTCAATTTGTCATTCCCAGTATACTAGACAATATGATTATCTGATTCAAAATGGCCAGTATTGGCCCATTTCAGCTCACTAATGCCTAGGATTTCTATTTTCTTCTCGGAAGGAAGGCTGGGCAATCCTACTTCTGTAGTGATACTGCCTCGGAAACCCAAGGAGGGGTCTCTATGAGTCAGGGCCGACTCGACGGCACATAACAACAACAACAACAGTGTTCTATTCATTTTTGACAATCAATTTTCCTAGATTCATACTTTATACATTTTACGTTCCGATTATTAATAGATGTTTGCAGTCATTACTTCTCATTTTGGGTCATGTCGCATCAGCAAATGAAGGTTCCAAAAGCTTTCCTCTATCCACATCATTAAGGTCGACTCTACTTTAAGGAGGAAGTTTTTCCCTTGTATTCTGAGTGCCTTCCAACCTGCAGGGCTCTTCTGCTGGCACCGTATCAGACAATGTTCAATGTCCTGATGCTATTCCTTAAGTTTTCGCTGGTAGATCTTCAGGTCCTTCCTCCTAGTGTCTCTTGGTCTGGGAGCTCTGCTGAAACCTGTCCACCATGGTGACCCTGCTGGTCTCAAGTGTTAGTAGCACAGCTTCCCGCATCAGAGCACCATGCAACCCCCAAAGCACAGCAAACTGACAGACTAGTGAATCTAACACACCCAACACACATCAAGCTTTTAAACTGTTTTTCTCATTTTGTTTTTTTTGTCTGCTTGTTGTATTACTGGTTACTGGAATGTATCATCCCACTACGATGGCTGACTATAAATCTCTCCTGCCAGTTCTGTCAATTTTTACTTTACATATTTTAACGCTATCACTAAGTAAAATTAAAATGATTACATCTTCCTAGTGAACTGGATTTTCTAGTCATTTTAACATAGACCTCTAGTAATGTGGTTTGGTGAAAGGCTATTTTGTCTGACACTAACATATTATACTATCTTTCTTTTGATTAGTGTCTTTTTCTATTCCTTTTACCTTCTGCCTTCAGCCTCTACGTTTTAGGTATCTTTTTGTAAGTCAGCTAATAGCTATATTTTTATATTTATCCTTTCAAATAATCTTTGTGTTTTAACTGAATAGTATACACGTATCATGATTTACTTCTACCATGTTATTCTGGATTCTTAGTTGTCCCTTTGTTTTCTTTTAACTATTTCCCTTCCTTTACTGACTTATATTTTGGATTGAGTTTATTTTCCCTTTTATTTTGTACTAGTTTGGAAGTTACACACTCTAAGTTACTATGTATTTAAATGTTCTAGGGTAGCCACTAAAAGAATAAAGTCCAAAGTCTATCAATTCCTTTAATTTTCCTCCCAAATAATGTAAGGACATCCCTGACTCTAGAATCATGCTTTGGTGGTCTAATATTTTAGTCCTATTCAAAACCCTCAACAAATCAGACATCATTATTAGTATAATCATCGGCCTCCTTGTATCACCACCTACCACAAACAGACCTTTTTCACACCTTTAATCTGGTATCTTTGTCTCTTCTTCCTAAATTATGGAAATTCTTTTATCCCAGGTCTCATGGTCTTACATTTAGTTTCTATTAGTCTGAATGTCTCTTTTGTCCTTGTTCTTGAAAAATAGTTTTGTCAGATACAGAATTATGGGTTTAAACTGAGAGTTAAATTTTCCCTCAATATCCTGAAAATATTCCACTATCTTCCAGCTTCTACTACTGTTGATAAGAAGTCAGTTATCATATTAATTAGCAACTCCTTTGTAGGTAACTTGTCTTCTTTATACCTCCTTTGGTGTTTTTAAGCTTCATGACATGTCCAGGTATGGTGGATCCATGGACTTCTTGAATTTAGTTAATTTTTTTAAATTAGTTTTAGAAAACGCTCAAGCAATTACTCCTTTCAATTGTGCCTCTCCTTAGTTTCTGCTACTTTATGGTTCTGCTCTTGTTCTCCACTCTTATCTGGACTTTTCTCTTTACCTCCTGTTCAATTCTGATTCCACTCCCAGCAGGGTTTTTTTTTGTTTGTTTGTTTGTTCCCCCTCCCCACCTTTTTGAGCTCTGGTGGCATAGTGCCTAAGACATTTGACTGCTTACCAGAAGGCTGGCGGTTCAAACCCACCAGCCACTCCTCAGAAGGAAGATGGGACAATCTACTTCCGTAGTGATACTGCCTCAGAAACCCAAGGAGGGGTCACTATGAGTCGGGTCTGACTCGACGGCATATAACAACAACAACAACCCCCCCTTTTTTAGTATGAGACTTTATCTTGGAAGGGAGTCAGTTTGATAAGTCCAACGAGGGGCCATACCATTTCAGCTCTTTTTGGCCTTACAATGTACCCCTGGTACTCACCTACTACTGGAGTGAGCAAAATACCTTCTTTGCTAGCCATGGTTCTCAAATTGACCTCTGTATATCTCAGGGAAAGGAGCTCTAGTAGTGTAGTACCTAAGGCATTTGACTGCTAACCAGAAGGCTGGCGGTTCAAACCCACCAGCCACTCCTCAGAAAGAAGGTTGGGCAATCTACTTCCGTAGTGGTACTGCCTCGGAAACCCAAGGAGGGGTCGCTGTGAGTCAGGGCTGACTCGACGGCACAGAACAACAACAACAACAGCCTTTGTCATTGTTGCAGCTATCATGTTGGCCCCAGACTCATGGCAACTGCAAGCACAATGGAATCAAACTTGGCCCAGTTCTGCAGCTCATAACAACAACATATCTCAGGGAATACTTGTTGACAGTTTTGAGGTTGAGGTGCTTGTTCTCAGATCCTTAAGATCCCCTCCTGCTTTGCCCGACATAGATGCTAATCACAGTGAGTTTTTAATCACAGCACTGTCCAAGAACCCTTCCAACTTCCACTCTAAGATAAGAATCTTCACAAGACTTCTTACTCTATAGAGCAGTATTAAGATACTCACAAAGAGACTCATTCTACAGTCACCCTTGTCTGAATTTGAATCTTATTTTCATAACACACTACAACTGAAAAAATTATAACTCAAGAAGGAGTGAAAAATAAGAACATCATAACTTAATATAATTTACAACCTACTTTTATTCATAAAACAAGTACTGAATGACTATATATTGTATTTGAAACACTGTGCCATATATGGAGCTTATATTCTACGTGTTTCATTTCATTAATTTACATCTACTTAAAACACTACAGTCAAATATATAAAGGGACAAAGAAAATATTTCATAAATGTGTCTTTATGCTCCTGCCATGAGAACATTCCAAAAATTAGTACCCAAACACTTCCCGTCTATCACAATGTGACATCTATAAACTTAAACCATTCAGTTCTCTAGGAAGGCTACTGATGAGTATTATTAGAACACATTTTTATACATGTTAATAAATTTCTGATACCCTGTGGTTTACTTTTTGGAGTTGTGTGTGTGCATTCTGGGAGAAAAGGAGTAATAGTTAAATTTTTATTTTTCTAGAAAGTGTCGAGAGATATTGAAAGATAAGATAATAAGAGTAATGCAAATACATTTTAATATAGCAAGTGGAAGTCATCAACTGATTTAATAAAGTTTAGCAAAATATTTCAAGATTCCTATAATCACAAAATTAGTACTACAAAAAGGAAAACATTTTTTAAAAGGACTAAAATTTAATAATAGTATAAAAAAATTAAAGAATTTTTAAAATTAGAAAACACTATATCAAACTATAGAAATTACAGAAACTAAGTCTTAGTAAATCTAGCTAATCATATGTGCTTTAAACCTTTTCCCTGAAAGTCAAAAGCTAGTATAAAGGCTTTTTGTACATATGCAAATAAATACAATGGTTTCTCATATATGTGCTGGTATGTGTAGTTCTTATTTGAAGGGAAAAGAGTATGTTGCCTTTTTTTTTTTTTAAATTGTGATTTGGGTAAAAGTTTTTTTGCTATCTTTTTAAAAAAACATTTTACACAGGAGAAAGATGTGGCAGTCTACTTCCGTAAGGATTTACAGCCTTGGAAACCCTATGGGGCAGCTGTGTCCTATAGGGGTGCTATGAGTCTCAATCAACTGGATGGCAAAGGATTAACAAGTCAATGACCTTGGGATTTTCCAAAGAGCATATGCATGTAAGCACCTGTTAATTTTAAAATCCTATTGAAGAGGAACGCTTAGAGAAATTTTACAAACTAAGAAATAGTAAAATATTTTATCACTGAATGTTGTTAAATTGTCTAATAATCATAAGATAGACCAGCTTTTAGGGGTGTGTGGAAAACAACATGCATGTTCTCTACAGTAAAACCCTATTGAAACATGTACAGATATGGCCATTAACAACTGAAACATCTGGTACCACTGGATGCTTGTTTTGTTGGTGAGGACTTCTCATTTCTACTACTCCTAGAAAGCAAAATATTAGTCAGAATATGTTAATTGTCACAACAAACAATATCTAACTCATTTATTGATACCAATAAAGCTATGGCTACCTCCTAAAACAGGGGAAAACAAACAAACAAACAAACAGTCTTAGCCATAAGAAAGTCTGAAGTGAACTGGAAATTCCTATATTCAAGAATTTTAAAATATTTGAGGAAAAAAAGATAATGGAAGAAAATCAAATTATTAAAGGTAATGTTATAAAAAAAAATGAAGATGTCTCAAAATGTTTTTATCAGCATGAAAAATGTTAGAATTACAAAGGAATTTAGGTAGTTAAAGCAAACAATATCATTACTGACCCATTTGTAACTCAGAGACGGTTTCTACTAGCGACCAGTCTGAACTATAACCACAGTGAGATTTGTCCATTAGGTTATCCAAGACTTGTCTCACTGTCTGCCTCTCATCCACCATCATTGTTTTAGAGCTGTCATCAGACATGTGGACTCTAATCACCAGCTGTAACAGGTAAAAAAGAAATCAGAAGTAAACAAAAAGTAGGTTTTCTAGAAAAGGGTTTCTCCTGATACCAATCAATAGTCTGATTAATGCCTTTAGTTCACCATAACGTAAGATAAAATTATGACTTTATTAAACAAGACAGGTAGGCTAAAGATTTAGACATCCAACAGCCCACTCAAATAAATGTAAAGCATTATATTTTTAAAAATTATACTAACAGGTAAGAATACAATGGTAAGACTATTTTTTAAAATCTCTTTGAAGAATTTAGAAATAACCAGAAAGTAATTTTGTTATAATGCATTTTATCTACAAGAAAATATTACCATTAAAAAATATATTATTAGGAAGAAAATACCCCTCTACCTCTTTATATCTTAGAGGTACAGTATAAAACAAAATAACTCTTTAGAACTGGTGGAAATCCCACAGCAGAGAAAGCCCACGTATCACCTTTTTCACTTGCGCCTCTTTAATCTTCTCTAGGGCAACTCTGATCTTCTCGGCTTTCAGTTTTGCTGCCTGTTCTTCCTGTGAACACAAAGCGTTGCAGATAAACTAATGCTATGATGATGAGAACAGGTGAGAAGTCTTTTAATCCTGAAGGATGCTCCCAGCATTGAATTTCACTAAGAATACAGCTTCACACACTTATAACTAGAGCACATTTTAAAACAATGTTGCTCACAAATTGAGACGAGACATTGTCAAGAGAGGAGCATTTTTATAGATGAGACTGAAGAGCTCTTATAATAGGACTAGATTCCATATTCTAGGGAGAAAACAAAAAATCTGTGATGTGATAAATAATAAGTTTGATTCTGACTATCTAAAGCAGATGAATTAGTGGTATAGTGCTTAAGGCACTTGACTGCTAACCAGAAGGCTGGCGGTTCACACCCACCAGCCACTCCTCGGAAGGAAGGTTGGGCAATGTACTTCTGTAGTGATAGTGCCTAGGAAACCCAAGGAGGGGTCGCTATCAGTTGGATCAGACTCGAGGGTAGTGGGTTTGGAGCAGGGGAGATATGAACGCATAATGGCCAGTTGTGAATCCACCCATTTGTTATCCCAGCAAATTCCAACTCTGCATTTATACCCCTCTTTCAGGGTATGGGCAATCTTTCACACACTAATGTTTTGTTTTATTACACTGAAAATGTACCACCATAAAAATATCTGTAATGAAAAACAATATTAACTTACTTATTTTGCAACCACATAAATACTCTTAATAAAAACTATAGGTATGTTTTCATCAATACAAGCAGAGGAAGCTTCTTCTATAGCCTCAGTTTTATTCTGCTTTGGAGGTTCATAATATAATCAATGTCTCATGTTAGTAAACTCAAATTTATTCCTATTAATTAATTGAAAATGTTTTTAAAATGCTAAATATAATTTTCCAAATACTTAATTTATAGAATTATAAATAATAATGAAAATTATCAAGACCTAAAATTTACTTAAACCATTTTTCTACTTTTTCCTAAAATAATATAAAGTATTCTTAACACCGGTACTTACTTGTAATTTCCAGCAATAGGCCATAATACACTGTTGCATTAATCTCCAATTAAAAAACAAAAACTCATATAAGTAAACCTTTGCTTAAAAAAGTATTATTTTCTATTTTTAAACTCTTGACAACTCTAGAAAACAGCTAAGGAAAAATATAAAACTGCTATCCTACATATTCTTGTATTTAGTATAAGACTTTAAAAAAAAAAAAAAAGCCTAATTACATCAGCCAAAATTTATCCCCTCTCTGGGTTGTGATTAAAAAATACAATTCATGTGTTACTCTTCATTAAAAAAACTAAAGCTTTCAGGGCAAAAAACAAAAACAAAAACATGATTCATTTAGTAGATTTATTTACTGTTCTGTTCCAAATTCTGTTGGTTTTCTTGTTTAAAATCTACTTCTCTTTTCACTTCATACTCCAGACTCTCCCCTCATTTCAAGCTTAGTATTTACTACCACTTTGAACAGAGAGGAAAGCAGTGGTTAGGGAATATATATATTCCTTTGACTAAAAGATTAAATCATACTTTTTTAAAGTTACTGCCTTATGCAAATAACCAAATAATGATTATAAAATATGCTGATTTTAACAGAAGACATTTTTTCCATTTTTAGCAGGCTATAATATAAGAAAACTGAACTGCCACTAAAACTCAGTTTCTGAGTCTTGGAGAAAGAAAATCATCATTAGTTAAATTACTAAACCCTATCTATATACAAGGAGCTCTGGTAGCATAGTGCCTAAGGCACTTGACTGCTAACCAGAAGGCTGGTGGTTCAAACCCACCAGCCACTCCTCAGAAGGAAGATGGGGCAACCTACTTCCATAGTGATACTGCCTCGGAAACCCAAGGAGGGGTCACTATGAGTCGGGTCCAACTCGATGGCACAAAACAACAGGGGAGCTCTTGTAGCACAGTGCCTAAGGCATCTGACTGCTAACAGATATGCTTTTGATGAGTAGAGTACTACTCTACCAAGGAATTTTAAATATTAGACTTTTGCAGTACTTTTTATGATATCAGTTACTTGACAATTTTTTTGGAGGACAAAGAGCGAAGCAGTCGTTTTATGAGCATTTTCACAAAGGAACAAATTCATGGTTCATTTGCCACATCCTTACACTGGCATGAATGGCCACTATGGACAAGAAAACTTCACCAAGGCATATTTTCAAGTTTCATATCATGTCCCTGAAAAGTAATTTAAATCTCAAAGTCTAATAAGGAAAAACTGATCAATGCTTTGCATATTTGGAATACAAAGATAAACTTCTAAAAGACCAATTTTTTAATGATATAATTAATCTGCAGAAGTTAAAAAAAAAAAAAAAGTTTTGAAGATGTCCTCAAAGCCAAAAGGATATTTTTAAGGAAAAAGAAATATAAGAAGTTAAACATTGCATTCTGATATTGATTATAAATTAAAAAGTCATTTTCATACTCTCATTTTGTTTTAGTATATACCTACTCCTGACTTCGGTTAGGCACTAAAGAGTAGGTCGTTATGTGAAAACTGGCATTACCACAACATGGAGGGTGACTTTGTCACTATTTTAACTGCCAAATTACATCATTACTGCCAAGCCACTGAGAATCACACCCCACACAAAGCGACACCCCTAACCAGCATAGCCAGCATCACTCTTGCCTCACACCTTGGCATTTGTTACTGCCAGATGTATGTCATTAATGCTCAAAATAGTCAGAGAGAAGATTTTTTTACCATTATCATAAACACAAAATGCTGGATAACAAGAGAGTCTGTAAGTGAGCATTAGGTACTTTATTTGCCAAGAAAACCGAACACAACCTGTGCTATTTTCTGAAGCAACTGACATAAAAAGTCATTTAATTATAGGATTAGCTTAAACTCACATATCAGTCTCTGCTCCACAGGCTACGAGTAAAAAAGCTGACACACTGGAAGAAAGGACTAAACAAATAGACACGTGCAATCAATTAACATGCATTAAATCAATTTGATTTCCTAACCAACAATTTTATATAAAGCAGGTTGTTGTTGTTGTTGTTATGTGCCGTCGAGTCAGCCCCAACTCATAGCGACCCCTCCTTGGGTTTCTGAGGCAGTATCACTACAGAAGTAGGATTGCCCAATCTTCCTTCCAAGGAGTGGCTGGTGGGTTTGAACCGCCAGCCTTCTGGTTAGCAGTCAAGTGCTTTTAGCCACTATGCTACCAGAGCTCCATAAAGCAGGTAGGTGGGGCTATTTTAACAAATTCAAATTCAGCTATTCTTCCATTTGATCAAAATGCTAACTCTTTAATAACTATAATTGATCTGTGTTAAAACTATAACAAAATCAAATTTAAGAGTTATTTGTTTAATCTCAACCTAAACAAATGTTTAAAGACTATTCTTCAGTTTATTACAAGGGTAATCCTTGCTAGAAGTATTTTGAAGAAACAGAATTGATCAAGATACTTTTAATATCTGGAGTCTGAATATCACCAGAAAAAGACTGGAAATACTAATATTTATATCAAATTGCAAGATTTATGGTATTTTATGTTCCCTGAAGCAAATAAGTGCTCTTCCTCAGAAAGTTATATTTTATCTACTATATTTAAGCCACAGCCATGTCTATTACCCATAACAACCTAGGAAAGAAGAAAACTGTTTTAAGCTCATGGAGTACATAATACGGGGAAAATCAATTAGTCTTTGCTGATATGCTCAGATTATCTACTTAGAAGATCTCTGAAAGCTCCTTTATACATGCAAATCTATGTTCAATTCTGCAACCCAAATTCAGTACGAGGGACAAAGCTTTATTTAATCTCATACCGTCTCTCTGTTTAAAGCTGACAACTCATTGTCTTAAATAATTTGCCCTATATCTTAATTATTTCTTTTTTTCAAGCTGTTTTTCCAAAACCATCCTAAACTTAAGTAAAAGATCTTTTACACATATAAAAACTTACCTTTCTTTCCTACTCTTTCTCTTAAAAAAAAAAAAAAAAAAAGAAAACAACCCATTTTCTACCTGAAAAATTCCTGTGCAGCTATCAATGACCATCAAATGCCAAGCCTCCTTGAATTTACAAAAAGGATAAAAACTAGTGAAGATCTTATGATTAAATGAAAATCAATGCTGCAGTTACAGAGTGTTAGAACATTCTCTTTGGTGTAAAAATTATAATACTTAAAGATCTACAGTTGCTAAGAGATGGCTAGTGAATTCCTTTAACTGAATTATTAAGGCTTTATGGGTCAGAACACATCTGACTGAATTAAGGAGCTAAAAAGAAGTTAGCAGTTTCTTCAAAATCTAGTTTATTTGACAGATTACAACAATAAAATAGGTATGTAAATTAAAATGATTCAAGTAGAACTTGAAGTCATAATAAGCAGTTGAATGCCCATTAAATGCACTATTCTACAAAACTGCTCAAAACCAAAATAATAACCAACAACTGTTGTTGTGATGTGCCGTCGAGTAGGACCAGCTCACAGCAACCCCTCCTTGGGTTTCCAAGGCGGTATCTCTACGGAAGTAGGTTGCCCAACCTTCCTTCCGAGGAGTGGCTGGTGGGTTTGAACACCAGCCTTCTGGTTTGCAGTCAAGTGCCTTATGTACTATGCTACCAGAGCTCCTAACCAACAACTAGTTCACTTTATTTCCCCTGAAGTAATTATGAAATTATACTCTCACTGAAAAGAGAACTAACATTAACTCAACAAGTACAACTTCCCACACACTACTAGGCATGTTTCACATTGTTGTTGTTGTTGTTGTTGTTGTTTGCCGTCGAGTCGACCCCGACTCATAGCGACCCCTCCTTGGGTTTCCGAGGCAGTATCACTACGGAAGTAGGATTGCCCAACCTTCCTTCCGAGGAGTGGCTGGTGGGTTTGAACCGCCAGCCTTCTGGTGAGCAGTCAAGTGCCTTAGGCACTATGCTACCAGATGTTTCACATAGTATTTCTTTAATCCTCAACAATAATTCAAGGACAGTATTATTATTATAGACATTGTACAGATT